TAAGGCTAAAACAGAACAGGACAATCATTACATATGTGTTTTTCATGTGTGGACTGGATGACTTACTGATAATAAATGCTATCTCACCAAAGATTAAGAACCTCTCCCCTCGGCAGTTATCTGATATCTTGCTCCACACTGAACTGAGTGCTCTCATATTGCAACCTCCCTTCAGCATGCTCTTATCCAACATTTGTTTTTCAAAACACACTGAACTGCAGGTCAGACGTGTACAGTATGCTACGAGCCACGAAATGTTTCAAACCCAGGTCCGTTTTTATTGTAATCCCAGCAGGTGTAGGTGTAGATGCTAATAAAGATACAAGATACAAAGGTGCCAGGCAACTGCTCAGGCTGATCACGACCACTCTAGACCAGTGGTTCCCAACTGGTGGGTCTTGGTCCAAAAGTGGGTTGTGGATCCATTCTGAATGGACCACAAGTAACTCGAGAACGTGTCTACAGTAGTTCGTAAAAAATATACTTTATTTTTAAGTATGGTGAGTTTCCAACACAGCTGCATTTTAAGTGTCATTTCCTGCTGTAGAGTGAGTGACTAACGGACAGCAAGTGGGTTTCCGTTAACCCTAGAAATGCGCAAAATCTAAATATCACAATAAAAAACTGGTAATGGAAATACCTACATTTTGAAAAATCTCTTAAATATCGAGAAAAAGTTTTTATGCTCTCATGAGGTGGTTTTTCAGTCGTGTCGATATAGAAGTACATATCACAAAAGTGTAATGGAAACACTTTTTTTGCAAAGATACGTCACCAGACATTCAAGTCCTCTGTGAATTCCTTGTTCACGATCCCCTCCCAGAAATTCTTTTCTGTGGTCGCTGCCACACACTTTGCCTTTGGAGTACCACTTGCTCTCTTTGTCTTTGGTTGTAGACAACTGCAACAGCAGCAGTGGCAACCGAGATGATTGTTCCAGCTCGCAAGAGATTTGGAATATCCATCTTACCTCTGCAAACACAGTGGAGTCTCGCGGGACGAGATTTTACGAGAATTACGGCTCATACGCAAAACACCTTTTAATGGAAACACCTGCAAGTCGCAATTGTACTTTGTCGAAACTTTAGAAATATCGCATTTATTTTGCGCAAAACTGTAAGAAGCGCGACTAGCTTCTTGTGAGAGACAGCAGTCTATCTTGATGACACAACCAAACGCAAGTATGACACTGACTGTATATAAATTGTGTGGACATTGAACTAATGACTGAGGAGAAAACTGAACCTCGTGTCTGGAGCAGTTGGGAACCACCACTCTAGACAGTTCTGGTTCCGCAGAGGCACTGCAGTGTGTTTCAGAAGCTAATAAAAATACAGGCCTCGTCTATTTTTGACAGAGCTGCAGTGCATTTCACAGAGCAGACTTCTGCTAAATGGCACTATTAGTGAAATATAGACATCATGTGATAACAAGGAAGGATATATCTTTAGTAACTAAAACACTGCCACAAATCTTCGATCCATGTGATCCATTTGATCATTTGATCCATACATAACTGGACTTGTAACAGTATTAACTCTGTTTGTAGGCTAACACAACACAACACAGTTTTAACAAGACCAAAAAAGAAGCTATTTAACCACTTTGCTTGCTTACTTACTTTGGATAGATGCACAAATGTCAAGGACAAATGACCAAATCAACAAAATCACGAAGGTGTACCTGGTGGAGTCTTCCTTCCCAGCTGCCTTCAAATCAATATGGCAGCGAAGATAACAATACCAGTTGACTTATTTATCTCGTATCATGTCTAACTTTAGTGGATCATAACATACTGGGTATAGAATTAGTTTTTAGATGCTCCAGTTCAAAATAAGATTTTTTTTTTTCTGTAGATGTCAGTTTTAAGCCATGACAAAGGCTAACATACGACCTGCAACAGCCAGTAAGGCTTGTTGTTTTTAGTTGAGCTGATTTCTGGAAAACTTTCTGCCCCTTCCAACCATCTAAGAGGAGTGAGGAGTCAGCAGTCAATGATGATATAAAACAAGTTTTTCAACAATTCTGAATCACCACAACCATGAGAGAAACTTGAGCGTACAGTCATAAGTGTGCACACAAAATATTAGGCTGATTGGTCCAGTAGTTTGTGAGATTAGCTGCAATTAGGCAGATACACACCCTCGCTCACACACGTGCACACAAACATAGACATGCATGTTTACAAATGAGGTCATAAGGTACCAGCAGAGTGGTATATGAAACCCACAAAACAGCCATTCTCAGAAATAGTCTCTTTGCTGACCTTTGTGGGATGAGAATAGGGTCAAATTTTAACTACAACTAGAATTCGTGTTTTTCTTAATTATGCTCATACAATTGACGCTCCCATATGTACAATAGAGGAGTTCTTGTTGCTGTAATGTTGTCATCTCTCCATGACTCTAAGGCTAATGTGGGGCTTCTGCAGGGTGATTTACCCACACAAGTGGATATCTTGAGTGTGTTTAGCTACTACTACTACTACTGTAGGAACGACATGGCGGACTCAGTGGAAGAATTCTATTAAGGAAAAATTATTAAATATGAAAGTATGTGAATGTTATCATAAATAACAACAATAATAATAGCTGTATGAATGTATGATTTATCCATGGTCATTGTTTGGTGTTTTGAAAGGCCTTGGAGCTCTTCACTGTCTGCATGCAGGCATGTGACGAGGCTTCATGGAGTCTGAAGGCTAAGATATGTAAGATGAGGACCTTGTAGATATTCAGACTCACAGATTAAACAGATTAAACCAAGGGTTACACAACAATTGTTTTGACTCCTCCAAGATAGTGTGAGTACACATGCTTCTGTATGATGTGTGATATGCTATGTAAGGCTGAATCTTTTTTTAAGATACTTTTTTGCCTTTATTACAGTGCAGCTGGAGACTGACAGGAAAGCGGGTAACGAGAGAAGGGGAATGACACGCAGCACACGTCCACAAGTTGGAACTGAATCCAGGCCACTGCAAAGGATTCAGCCTACAGTATATGGGAAGCACACTCTACCAGGTGAGCTAGAGGTTGCCCCAATCATTGGTTTGTTACTTTATGTTTTATGGTATCTATTTATGCGTACATGCTACCAAGATCTTAGTCATCAGATGTGTTGTATTAAAAATGTATTCAAGAGTGCAAGTTTTTCTACATCAAGGACAGGCTTCATATGTACATTTAAACGGCTCATTCAAAGGTTTAGAAAACACAACAATTCTTAGTTTCACTTGTTATTGACTCTATTTCTATTATAACTTCACTTATTGCTGTGTTTATTCTAATAATTTTAATAATTTTATCTAACAATTAGCATTTGTTCCTACCCTACGGGAGCGGCCATTACTGTTCTGCAAGCTGTGGCCTGCATTTTATGTCATTAACAAACGTCAAAATCCAGTGCTAGGACAGTGACTCACAGCATCAGACACTGACGAAAAAAGCTGTTATGCATGATATGCAGCTTGTGTTGGCGGCGGCAGGGGGAAACGCGATGGGACAAGAACAAAAGTTGAGGCGGCAAAACTCCAAGTAGGACGGACGGAAGGGAGGGGCGGTGGATGGGTCCAACAAACACCAATCTTCACCCAGGAGAGCAGTGTCCTGTAATATTATAAAGCCAAACCCTGCTCTTTTCTGCAAAACCCAACCATGTGCTTTTGTTGCCTAAACCCAACCACATGCCTTAGTTGTTGGAGGAAAAAAAACATCAATTTGCATTGACGCACATAACATGCAGAAATTGACAAAGCATCCAAGAACATCAACAACCAACACACCCAAGGCAAGGCAAGGCAATTTTATTTACATAGCACCATTCATACACAAGGCAATTCAATGTGCTTTACAAGAGAAATATATTAAAATAAAACATTAAAGGAACAATAGATCATTAAAAACAAAAGCTAAAAGCAAGACAATAAATAGTTAAAAACCGTGCAGAAAATGCATTTAAAAAGCAAACATAAAGCAAAAGCAACAGCAGACAAATATAAAAACAATAGCTACAGATTATCCTAACAATAAGTTACATATCTAGTTCACTGGTAAGCTGCAGTAAATAGTAATGTTTTAAGCTCTGATTTAAATGAGTTGACAGTTTCAGCCGACCTCAGATATTCTGGAAGTTTGTTCCACAGGCTGGGAGCATAGAAACTAAAGGCTGCTTCACCTTGTTTGGTTTTGATCCTGGGGACAGTGAGTAAACCTGTTCCAGATGATCTGAGGGGTCTGGGTGCTTCATAATGTACAAGTATATCAGAGATGTATTTAGGCCCAAGACCATTTAGTGCTTTATAGACAAGTAACAAGATTTTAAAGTCTATCCTTTGGCACACAGGAAGCCAGTGCAGTGACTTAAGCACTGGTGTAATGTGCTCCACTCTCTTGGTGTTGGTGAGGACTCTGGCAGCAGTGTTCTGGACTAGCTGCAGTTGTCTGATTGATTTTTTACTCAGGCCTGTGAAGACACCGTTACAATAGTCCAGCCTGCTGAAAATGAAAGCATGAACAAGTTTTTCTGTATCTTGGTTAGACAGAAATTCTTTTATTCTTGCTATGTTTTTAAGGTGGTAGTAGGCTGATTTAGTAATTGTCTAAATGATGTGTGACTATGTGACTACTGAAATTTAGGTCTGAGTCCAGAACTACACCAAGATTTCTGGCTTGATTCATAGGTTTTAGTGTCATGGCGTCAAGGTGAGCACTGACTATTGATCTTTGTTCTTTGGGGCCAAAAACAACTATCTCAGTTTTGTCTGTGTTTAGTTGTAGAAAATTCTGGCACATCCATGTATTGATTTCGTCAATGCACTTATTTAGCAGATGTAGGGGACTGTAGTCATCTGGTGACACTGTTATGTAAAGTTGTGTGTCATCTGCATAAGTATGGTAGGAGATGTTATGATATTCCATAATCTGAGCAAGAGGGAGCATATAGATGTTGAACAGAAGAGGCCCAAGAATGGACCCTTGAGGAACTCCACATGTAATTTTTGTTCGCACAGATTCATAATTGCCAAGTGACACAAAGAAATCCCTGTCTTGTAAATAAGATTTAAACCAATTTAGCACAGTGCCAGAAAGTCCCACAAACTTTTCTAGTCTGTCGAGCAGTATCTTATGGTCAACTGTGTCGAATGCAGCACTGAGGTCCAGTAATACCAGAACCTAAATATTTGATGCATCACTGCTCAGATGAATGTCATTTAAAACTTTTACAAGTGCAGTCTCAGTGCTGTGATGTGCTCGAAATCCAGACTGAAAGGCATCAAAGGAATTGTTTTGCTCCAAGAAGGTGTTGAGTTGCTGAAAAACAACCTTTTCAATGATCTTTCCTAAAAATGGTAGGTTTGATATGGGCCTGTAGTTATTTATTACTGAGGCATCCAGATTAGGCTTTTTAAAGAGAGGTTTAATGACTGCGGTCTTCAGGGCCGTTGGAAAAAGGCCTAAATGAAGAGAACAGTTGACTATCTGTAGTATATCTGATGCTATGCAGTTAAAACATCTTTAAAAAAGGTTGTAGGCAGAGTGTCAAGGCAGCAGGTAGTGGACCTAAGGTTTCTAACTATGTCTGTCAAAGTAGCATAATTTAATGGGTGAAAAAAGTGCCAAACTAACTGGAGTAGTCTTATGAGGCACAGGTTACCTTGCACATCAACATGGAATATCCATGACTATATGTCGATATGTTTGTATGAGTTTGGAGTGAGAATGTGTTGCCCTGATTGGATTTAAATTTCTGGAAAAAGGTTGGGGCAGCACCGAGTCCAGACTGATACAGAGAGCGAAACAGAATGTTGAGCTGACGTCATCAGGATGGTCTTACCAGGCTTTATCAGGACCTGCTGCATAATAATATTCAAGTTCATGAAACCTCTCGCAACCCCTTCTTATACCCACCAGAATACAAGAGAAGACTTAATTCTGGGGAGAAAAAAGAATAAAAACTCAACGACAATGTAGTAAAAAGTACAGCGTCTTTACTAAAGGATTTTGTGACATATTGCACAAATTATTATTATTTTTTTTTTAGTAGTTTGGCTTCTTCTAAAACTTATATGAATCTGCAATGTAAACAATGAAATAACTTGTACACCTTTCTGACAGTGGTGAATGGTTTGCTTGATTTGTCACTTAAAAAAAATACCCTGAGGAGTGTTCACAACTGAGTTCAAAATCCTTTCCCAAATTCGCCTGAATGTATAGGAAACATTCTGACAGCTTTTCGTACCTCTTAATAGTTGCATAGACGTTTTTTTTGGAAAAGCTGCGTTTGTTCCATTAGATCCAAGTGATTTTACTAATCCCTGCTGTTTGCACAAATGTGCCGTGCTTGAGGCGTGTGTGTGTGCTTTTGTAAATATACAGGTACAAATGGTATACAAACTATACATGACCTGCTTATCAAAACATTGCTCTGCAACACCTTTAGTGATCAACAGCTAGTGGTGTTGTAAAATAAACTTTACCTTCACATATTTTATTGTTGGCAAGCCAACAAAATAGTTTTAAATACACACCAGTCCAGTGTCTGTAATGCAGTTCATAAACCTTTGCAACTTTTCCACAGTGGTGTTCCAATTGCTCACAACAGTACAATAGAAATCTATAAATAAATTAACCCGTCCATTCCTTGGCACCCAATCCCTTCAACCCAGGTGATTTTATCAGTACATCAGGAATAGTCTTTGTCCTAACACAGTGGTTCAGGCTTCTTCAAATCTGTCCAGTATTTCAATAGCTCTTGTGAAGACCCAAGAATGTAGGTGATGACCTTGGAGAATTCGCAGCGATTATATCTTGTGTTATAGGCCTTGAACTGGGAGGGATTTGGTGGTGATGTGGGTGCAAGACCTAGCTGTTTCATGCACATTCCAATGTAAGCGTCCTCTATGTTAAATGGTTTCACTGATTTTGAGGCCTCCACAAATTTTTCAGGAAGATCGTTGGAGAAGATGTATCCCATGCCCAGAGTGTAGGTTGGATATTGAGGTTCTGGGTACATCTCCTCGGGGACGTACCACTTAGAGTTTTTTGAACGGACAACTGGCCTGTTCCACATAAGCATCCCAGTCAGGTAGTTCAGCTTGGGGATGCCTGGCTTCTGCAGCATCATTACCAAATTGTCAATATTAAGGAACATATCAGAGTCAATCTTCATGGCGTATGCTGCTGTAGGGCAGCGTGTGGCCAGCCAGTCCATGATCACCATGGTTTTGGTGGTCAGATTGAGGTAAGTGTCCATAAAGTTGCTCTGGATCAAGTCGTGGTGCTGTAGATTCTCCTGTTTGAGCTTCTCCTGCACCTGCTCCACATCAGCTCCTCCTGAGAGGCCCAGCATGAACAGAGTAAGCACCGCCTCGCCCTGCACCAGGCTCTCTTTGCCCCATGTCTGCCGGATGGCGTCCCGTGCTGCCACGTTTTTGGGTGCCACTGGAACCATCAAGACCAGGAAAGGGGTCTTGGTCTTGCACACATCTGGGTTATCCATATTAAAGTGGTAGTTGCGTGGGTAGGCGTGATGGAACTGAGTACCTGTTGGAGGCACAGTAGGTAGTACAGTAGTGCTTGCTGTGGTTTCATAGATTTCAGTTGGTTTAATTCTGTGTTTTGGATGGACACGATAAGCAGGAGGTAGATTGACTTGATTGGTTCGATTGAGAAACCTCTGGTAGTGCATATGGAGTGGAAAGTTCTCCCACCATGATCGAGAGCTGCTGGACTGAGAGTAGCACAAGACAAAGACCAGGCAAAACAGCAGCAGGAACCGGAACCAGGAGTGAAAGAAAGGCATCTTCTGATGACACACGCTCTCACAAAGTTGCCTAAAAAGACAAGACAGGCAAAGTTAAAAAAGGTGGAACTTAAGACTTTACACATGGAACGTCCAGGGACAACTGCAGTCATGCAAACTCAAACATGGTTCTACTCATAGTACAATTAAGGGTCCCTGTCAGTACATGGGAGGGCTGGGAGGTGATCTTAACCATATTATTGCCAACATCTGGTGAAAGTGAAACTAAGAAGACACTGCTGGATCTGAGGTGAATTTCTGTTGACTATCTAACTTAAAAATAACTTCATCATCGATAGGCAACTGAAAATGGCATGATGGCAGTGTTTTGGTCTTGGCCAGAGTTTGGAATAAAAGATTGGAGCATGCACATTCAGCGCACCTGATTTGGTCTGCAGACCCTTCCAGACATGGTTGGATGACAACATTTACATCACGTAGACCAAAACAGAGCCTGGTGGACACCCATAAACTATGAATTGGCTCTTATTGGCCATGCAGCAGCCCTGTCTCCTAGAAATTGTGTTTAATATGAAACAGCAAATACATTTTTAAGGGACACATAATGCTCAGCAAAATGTTCATTGACAAAGTATTTCATTTGTTTTCCTTCAAAATAGGCAATCTTGTAATATCCACTCATGGTGACTAAAGTGGGATTTACTTCTGCAATGAACCAATACCATACCTATGGTTATAAGCTCTGTGTAGGCACATACCCTACACTGTAGTCTGATGTGCACCTCCCTAGAATTGCAACCACACATCTCAGCAACCCAGACTTACTGTATATTTTTGTGAACTGAAAACCAGTTCCCTCTGTAGAAACAAAGCTTTTATTATTTCACAGAAAACAAACAATGACCTGTGACGATAATAAAGCCCCCACAAAATAGCATTTTAAGTCTTGTGTGTGATTTATCCAGGTTTCATATGAGTAGAGGAAAGTCTGCTAGCTGCTAGGCGAATATAAGCAACATGAAATGTCATAGGATTACTAAAATAAGGTTAGCATGTTGTAGGCCCAATATGTGGGAAAATGTGTCTTGTATAAGACAATTGTTTGTCGGTGAACCTTGTGAGTTATAATGGAGTCAAATTTTATAACGTTATTTTTTTAAAATGTTGTTTTCCCTAGCTTTATATCAGTAGAGGAAAACATCACTAGCCACTATGGCTAATTTATGCAAGGCAAAATATCATAGGCTAATGCTTGTGACGTTAGCTGGTTGAATTTGGTGGGAAAACATGTCTAGAAAAAGACAACTGTTTTGTGTATGAGAGGTGAATTTTGTACTTCTCTTTAATATAGAGGGCTGTCATCAAATGTCAGCATGCGTCTGCTCATGGACAAACGGCTACTGTTTGTGACACCATGACATGTAGGCCTAAACATTAATGGCGTCCTCCTCAGCTGAGCTGTAACATTAGCTAGCTCAAAGGTGCTAGATGAGGTAGCAGCAGATGCAAACTTCCTTCTTTGCCTTAATTTGGTTGGTAGGTTTAGTACGGTAGAAAGTAAATCATTCCTATATGAAACTACACACAAAAAGGTCTGTGGATTATCTAGAATAATTAGGCCTGTGTCTTTTTGGAAAGACACATTGCAGGTGATTTTTTCAAATGTATTTTTTTGGCACTTTATACACCACAAGCCCGGTGCCCTCTAGTTCCATTATGATCAAGAGAAGGCAGACATCTCTATGGCCTATAGCTCCAACTCAACAACAATCTAGATTGAGGAACAACTAACAGTATCATTTTTGTAGCAGTTACATAAACAGTTCCAAGCAATTTTCTCCAAACATAAATTCCCACATTTAACACTATAAGGAACCTGGTGTCCCTTCCTTTTAATCTCTCTGTGAGTCACAGTAACCTGCAGCAGAACAGTTAGATGGGTTGACTTTGAACTTTTAACCCTGACACTGATCAGCCAATGAGAGCTAAGAGACACCATGACCTAGGCCTATAGTTGCATGACAGCCTCCCTCATTATCATAAAAGAGAAAGTAGGACAGTAACAAATCAATGCTGAAATAAATTAATGCCAAAACATAGAAAGAAAATATAGATAAATATAATATTACAATAGGTGTGAAGTGTTCACCTGAAACAGGACTAGGCAGAGAACACAAATCCACTGAATAAGGGCGCTGACACATCAAGCCGATTGTTGGTCATTGTTCAGTGACAGGCCAGCGTCTGTAGCCCTAGTTTTGGTGTTGGGTTCCACACCGTTGGCAGCAGTCAGCCCTTGTCAGCCCATGTTAGCTGATTCAGCATATTAAATCAATGTTGGAGCTGACAAAGCCCGACAGTGAATGAAATCACTCTGATTCACAGTTCATCTCAGTGCATGGGAAGAGAAACAGAAGTGAGGAAAGCAAATGAACAGCTAAAGTTAAAAACAAAGTTGATATATTGGGTACGATAACATTTTTATCCACTGAAGTCTTTAGCAGAAACCGTTTGTAATTGAGTTATTTTTCACCAGCTCACGGTAAATATCCTTTGTTCTTTTAACATCTTTAAGTGGTGTCTTGAATCCATCCTGTCGGTCTTTCTGCTTCTTTTTTTAAATGACAAATACTGTCTGCTGCCTCCTGATGCTACGGAGACATTTCCTCTCACATAGGAGCAGAACGTACATGCTAGTTGGCTGTTAGCTGAAGTCTTTGCGGTGTGTTTAGGTGCAACTTTTTAGCCACAACACAGGCAAAATGAGGCAATGTAACAGTTGGCCTTTGCCTCTTCTATGTCTTTGATGTCAGTTTGTTGTGTCTGGGCCTTCAGAGAGGACAGAGGAGACTCTATCTGTTGAGGAGACTCAGGTGTTTTGGAAGGCAGGCACACTCCTAGGACCATTTTTGACTCTGTGGTGACATCAGCAATCCTTTACAGAGTGGTCTGCTGGGGCAGTAGCATTTGAACAGCTGACAGGAAGAGAGTTAACAGGATGGGATGCCCCCTCTATTCAGCAGTGACAGGCTGCTCCACCTGCAGGCTGTGTGTGAAGGGGAGATACCACAGGTGCTTCCTTCATCCTGCTGTCAGACTTTTCAACCAACACTGTTCCCAGCAGACCACACATACCAGAACTGACAATCAACACTCAGGTGCAACATCAGTATCTTGTAACGGACTGGGTGACTTGATTTTAACTGTGGATTCTGTCACTGTTAAGAATTTGTTATGCTCACCAACAGTAAAAAGGTCTGTTATGTCAGTGACTGAGTTTTCCGTTCACTTCCAGCAAAGTTGTGTGGGGAAATTCAATTTTTTCTCTCAAACAGGACCTATACATGCACTAAGTGAAGAGATGTCAGAGTGAGCGGTTGGAGGGAGGGGGAATCGGTGCCTTGCTCAAGGAAGTGAACTGGCACCTCTCCAGCTACCAGTCCATGCTCCATATTTGATCAGGATGGAGACCTGAACAGGTAACCCTCTGGTTCCCAACCCATGTCCCTATAGACTGAGCTACTGCCACCCTGAAGCCCATCAGTAGTTTGCACCTGTGTGTAAGCCGAGGAGCAGGAGTTCTTAAAGTAGCGGATAAACCAGAGAACAAATTGTAAAGCATACAGGTTTGTTGTTTTGGTGTTGGCTGTGGCATGTTTTAAAGTAAAGGAATAAAAAGCCTGCAAAATGAGTTCATTCCTCGTAGCCTCTCTGTTTAGGGACGCTGCAGTAGCCTATATTTAACAGTGCAATATTTGTACTGCTTGCGTGCAATAACATGAATTTAGTCAGTTTAATATTGTTTCATAGCTAAGTTGTTTAATACTAATTTTTTTTTTTTTTGGGGGGGGGGGCGCAGGGGAAGCTTGCCCAAGGCCGCAAATATGCTACCTGCAGCACTGAGTGACACGTCCTGAGGCACTCTGAGAGAACCACGTACCGGAGGTGGGGTGTGTGGCTGGGTGTGTATAGCTCATCTATCAGCCTGATGATCGCTTACTATCCTCAGCTCAAAGGCGAACAGTTAGCCTGCCCGGTGTGCGCCTCTGTGCGCGTAAATACGCATGAACCGTGTTGGATAGATCATTTTCTTAGTTGTTATGAGCGAAAAAATAGTTTCAAAGTTGCTGCTAATGCTTCAAAAATAGTTTGTATGTCTCACGTCATCTGTCCTTTAATTCTACGCGGAATTTAAAATATTCGTTGCTTTGGTCAGTTTACTCGATCCGCTGATATACAGCCGCAAAGGTGCGCATTTAAGTTCATCACCATCAAGTGTATTATGCCAATAGGTAGCTGTGGGATAATGATAACAATATCTAACAGTATGTCGGAGTCCATGTGCAAGAAAAAACATCAATAATCTGCGCGTCACGTTCATTTAAAGCCAAAGATGTGGAGTGCACTCACACGCAGATAGTCAGACTCTAAATGTCTGGTTTAATTCAATTAATCAAATGATTTAAAGTCCTTACCTTTTCAGCCAGCTCCCACCTGAGCCAGACTCTTGCTCCCCCATGACTGCCGCCACTCTGCCTCCCTTATTCCCTTAACTCTTCCCTATCTTGTGTACTTGGCTTCAGCCATGAATGTGCTCATTCAGGTGTGACAGGCTGATACTGACAAACCATAACTTCCACGCATTATTAACTCCGCTACAGCCTGCGGGAATCAGTTATAACACAGCGATGGTTTTTGTCTTGAGAATGAGTCAGAGGGGCAGGGAGGAGAGAAATGGGCGTGGGGATGGGAAGGAGGGAGGGAGATGGTGTCACAGCCTCGCACCTCCTGTGGCTTCATATACTTTGTCTTATGGAGGGTGGCTTTTCAAGTGTTCACCTGGTTTTACGCGCAAAGACACACACACACGCAGACACAGAGAAACTATGATAGTGACAGAGGGTCAGAAAAAAAGAAAATCCTGGTTTGTAATTTTCCCCCAGATTGAAACCAGCTCATCCTTCCATTACTACATCTGAACTGTTATGTGAAAATTTATTGCATGGTCTTTCTGGTATTTTCTGTGAGTGTGGGTGGTCACACAACAGTACTACAGACTCATTTTGCCTGTAAGTTAAGCTCTCTGTCGCCCTGTGCATTGACTTGAACGTCTGATGTTGCAAAATCTTTATGGCAGGCCATTTATTTATTTATTGCCAATGGAATTTGACCATACGGCACTGATGTATAGATGTATGCCTTTATTAGTTCAGTACAATAAAAATAATGTGTATGTGTAGCTGCACTACTGATGTGTGTGCTCTCACCTGTTATATCAATAATGTTATCTGAGGCCTTTTGTCTTACAGTTATTGCAACATACAGAATGTAAATGATTAAAGTATAAGTAATGGGCTCACATCCTGGTTCATACTGAGAACAAGCAGGCGCCCTGAAGCTACACTGAATGTCTTATTGTGAGAGAAGGAAAAGTCAAATTTATATTTGCATGCACACTTAGTGTTACACGCCACCACCACCACCACCACCACCAACCAACCACCCACTCAAACCTCACATTTTCTTTTATCAATCATTAATGATATTAGAGGAAGCAGATAACAAAAAGGATCCATGCTGCGTTTTACAGAAGTCAGCATGACAGCATCAGCATATTCTTGCGTGTTTATTTTCAGTATATAAATCATGTTTCCCCCACTGTGGATGACCCCTTTCCTCTCAGTTATACAAGATGGTTGATACCACTCTCATGTCTGTATGGTGAATATAAAGTCGGTTAACTTTGCTTAGCATAAAGGAAACAGGAAAAAACAGCTAGCCTAGCTCTGTACAAAGGTAACAATCCCCCCCCCCCCCCCCCCCTCTCATGTCTGTATGGTGAATATAAAGTCGGTTAACTTTGCTTAGCATAAAGGAAACAGGAAAAAACAGCTAGCCTAGCTCTGTACAAAGGTAACAATCNCCCCCCCCCCCCCCCCCCCCGTCCTGCACCTCTACAGCTCAGTCTGTCAACACAGACTACTTTAATATGTAAAGTAACTTGTACAAATTTGCCTCCCTGACTTAAACACCTCATACAGGGAAATATTTCTACAGGTGACAGGTGCCTACATATTCCTGTTTGTCTCGTTTGTCAGTTGTTCGTCTAGATTTCTACCTGCTCATAGAAATGACTGTGTACATATTCCTCAGTCTGTAAGATGATACAGCAGCAGCTCTTGTGAGTCTGTGTGCTATTATTACATCATACAGTTGTCCCCCTTATAACACTTACATGTGAGAATGGTCTGTAGCTGTCTTTTTTGTCCTCCTTTTTGTTAGAGACCTACAATGCACTGGAAAACTATCTGGTACTCTGTTTACTTATTTAAATAGTAACTGTAGCCTTGGTCTTAACTATCTGTCTTGTTCCCTCCAACAGTGATAAATATATAAGTACAAGATAAAGAAGATCGGGCAATTTTATGCACTAGACAGGTAGATAGATAGATAGATAGATAGATAGATAGGTCAGTCGGTCGGTCGATGGGTAGATAGATAGATAGATAGATAGATAGATAGGTAGGTAGGTAGGTAGGTAGGTAGGTCGGTTGGTCGGTCGGTCGGTCGGTCGGTCAGTCGGTTGGTCAGTCGGTCGATGGGTAGATAGATAGATAGATAGATAGATAGGTCAGTCGGTCGGTCGGTCGGTCGATGGGTAGATAGATAGATAGATGATAGATAGATAGATAGATAGATAGATAGATAGATAGATCGGTCAATAGGTAGATTGGTTGATGGGTCAATGGGTCGATAGATAGATAGATAGATAGATAGATAGATAGGTAGGTCAGTAGGTAGGTCGGTCGGTTGGTCAGTTGGTCGATAGGTAGATAGATAGATAGATAGATAGATAGATAGATAGATAGATAGACTGCAGGCTAGTCTAGTACCTGAACTCTTTTACTACGAAGCCACACTGTTGTAACACGTGCAGATTGTTGCTTGGCATTGTTTTGCTGGAACAATCAGGGACAGCCCTGAAAAAGACAGCACCTGGATGGCAGCATATGTTGCTCCAAAACCTGTATGCGCCTTTCAGTATTTATGGTGCCTTCACAAATGAGCAAGTTACCCATGATGCTATGGACCTAACACTCCCCATACAGTCACAGATGATGGGTTTGAACTTTGAGTTAGTGACAATCTGGATGGTCCTTTTCCTCTTCAGCCTGAAGAACACGATGTCCAAGATTTCCAAAAATAATTTTAAATGTGGACTCATGAGACCACGGCACACTTTTCCACTTTGTGTCAGTCCATCTCAGATGAACTCAGGCTCAGAGAAATCAGTGGCATGTAGATGCAGTGACAAATTGTAACAACTTTCTCAGTCTTTTGTTGCGTTTTATTTTTTCATGTAGTTATATATTGGAGAGCTCCACAATTTTGCATGTCAATGTTCAATCAGCTAGAAAGAACAAAGATCAGCAAACTCAGGTGGTGAGCCACAGCAACGTGGAGTTTTCTTAAGCGCCCAGGTCCCCCTTTCATTTGTATCTCATGTATGCATATGAGAACGCACATGCACACATACATGCAAGTGGGCAACCCGATACACAGCTAGCATACATCAATGTGATGGACATTGAAAAACTGGCTTTTCAAATATGAAGAAAGACATGCATTCAACACATTTGATAGACCTCAGAGATACACACAGGGAAGGAACAGTGAAACTCTACAGGTGCACTGTATATTTTATGAGCTCAAAATATGTTTTGCACTTGAAACCCCACTTTGCAAGTGACAGGAGTAAAAGGATATCACAGTGACTTTAAAATGGTAAAGCACTTGAATATGTGCTTAATTTATGTTTACTTTGGGGAAAGGCCAACAATTACCCAACAAAAGACGCACTCTCATGACTTCATCTATCCACATTTGGACAGCTCTTCAAACATCACACATATAATTACAGCAGGCAGATAGCTAAATCATCCGCCCCATTAATTAGATAAATATAGGTCCTGTGATAAGAAGCTCTGATTTTGTGTGAGTGTGTGGTTTCAGAATTATAACATCATACTGGCAGTGATTGTTGTTTTTGGCATAGAGTAAGTAGTAAGCTGTATCTTTAATGTGCTGTATTCATGTCCATTTACACAGATAAAGATGCTGTATAGGGTATATTAGAACAAATTTTCTAATGCCTTTAAAGAAACACAATGCAGAATGTGTTGGTTACTGTTTGTAATCAGTATTGCCAGCCAAATTGAAGGTCAGCCCAGATTCACTCTTTTTTGAACAAGCCTTATCTGCTTGGCATTTTGCCTCCCTATATTTGTGTTTTTTTTGGAGCTGTGTCTGGGATTTTCATAGCTTCCGCTTGGATGCCTGCTGCTTATGGTGTGGCACCTGGTTGCTAACTTTTATAAAGTCCCAGCCTCACCTATGCAGTGTTATTGGCTGGGGGCTAAGGACCTGGGCATGTCCCACTGGTAGGAGGCCCTGGTGCAGACCCAGAACACGCTGGAGGGATTACATATTTTGTCTGGGTTGGGAACACCTCAGGGTCCCCCAAGAGGATGGATGGATGGATGGATGGATGGATGGTCAACTCTAACCTACTGAGAATTTATTTTGGTTGTATTTTTATTTTTGCTTGTTTTTACCACCTTTGCAATTAAATCTGAGTGGATTTAACTTTTACACACAATTATTTAGACACACAGACACAACACAGGACAGGCATCTAAACACAACACGCAGAGAGATTTTTTTTTTTAATTTGTGTTTATTGACATTGAGTCATTGTCACAGTCATCAACACTGGTGACATCCTTGGAAAGTGTTGCAGTGGCCCTGATGTACAAATCACATCTGTTGTCATATTATTAAACTTCAGTTTTCTAAAATGCAATGAAAAGTACATTTATACACTTTACATTTGTGTAAATATTTTTCATATATTGTGTGGTATATTTCGGATGAAACACAAGGCACTTGGACACCGTTGAAATACTGATTAGGATCAATCAATGTGCAAACAAGGATACGAGATAAATTGACACAGATACTGGCCACACGTGGCCATTGTCAAACATTTCCCCTTCAAAAATATTCGAGGCAGCTCTTTAAACCACTGTTTGGTTTATTCCTGTGTACCTTTTTAGTAAAGCAAATGTGTACTAACTATTGTGTAATACACACCTTTGTCTACTTTATTCCCGCTTGAATATTTACCTCAGTTGGTCTTGTCGTAAAGGCAGGGCAGATCCGGTCTAGATCGTTGTCTTGGAATGATTATTAGAGCAAAGAATGAGCTAAAATAAACTGCAAGCGAAGGAGTTTAACTCAAACCTACATTCAGTTGCGTCAACACAGTTTATGTCTTTCTTCTTGCGACTTGGAAAATCACATGGTCGAACAGATAGCTTTGTGTAGATTATTGTCTTTCGTCACACACTGTAGTGTCGTAAACGTCAAGGTCTCCGGGGGTTGAAACAAACCACAGAGCAGCTGACAGACAAACTCAGGTCACTTTACAATCAGTGGGATTACTGCGTCATAAATTATGATGCAATTTGAGTTTTACTCAAGGGGGCTAATTATTAGAGGTGTACATTGTTCGGATCGTTATATCAATTCGATGATCAACGATCCAATATTATCGATGAAAAGTGAAACCATTGATGCATATCATCACTTTAAAGAGGTATTCCTATGGAGCACCTGTCACCATTTCTGGCCAAGCACACCTCCTTCGTCTCGTCTCGATATATTGTCTAATATCGATCGCAGCCCCCTGAACTGAATCAAATCGAAATCATGTCATGGCAGACTTTGTGATATCAGCAAATATTGTATCATTGTCCACAGAATCAATATAATATCGTATCATGAACCCTATTAATTATTTTGTTTGTGTGGGCTTGAAAATGAAGCAAGTTGCACATGACAAGTAATTACCACCAGATACTATCAAATCCACAGAAACCTTCTTTAAATGACATGACTGAGTATGACACCCAATCACCTTGAGTTAATTTTGTAACCAGACTACCATGTAAAGTCTGTAACATCTTCTCAAGCATAAATATTTTGTAAACAGTTGTATTAAAAATTATCACAAAAACATGTTTTTAACATCAGCTGTAATTTTATGGGATTTAGTGTCGATTTTTTTAACTGATCGATTTCTTATTTTGAAATGTAACCCCTTAATTGCACAAACTCTTCATTTTGCCAGAAGGAAAAAATACAATGGCTGTAACAATGTTGAAGTCTACAATGCGTAATCATTAATGTTCTTCTTGTTGCTCCCCGCAATCCTGCTTCTGCCCATATTTATTTATGAGTAAAAATGGGTCTATGGCAGCAGTCAGTGGGGGTTGTCGAACGTAAAAACTACAAAATGGTTAGTGCATCTGCTCTTTCATGACCTGGATCAGTAAATATAATACAGGTGACTGTCCACTGTAACATGTTTTTTGACCATGAAGTCAAAGTGTAGACGAATGGAAGGCGATGGGTGAATCCATAGACTGTATATAAAGATGGACGATATGACAGCTCCCAAAAAGTGAAGCCAGAACATCTCGATCGCCCCCTGGTGGCCAGCTGCTGTACAGTAGAAGTCATAAACCCTGCCCCCTCCATGTTAGAGGATGGGACATGGGCCAAACTAAAAGATCAAAGTGAACATCAAATATATTTTTCCCAAAGATGGTTTCTGTCAATTTAAGTAGTTCTTATCGCTTTTCTGATAAGTTTGGTTTTAATCTGTTATTTGATAGCTGTGTGTGCCAATTGGTGTGCTAATAATCAATGGTGCTGCTTGCCATTGGTCGATACCATGGAGACGGCTAGTGTGTTGGCTGTAGCACCAAATGACGTCATCAGAGCAAGATGGCAGTGGCCATGTTCAGGATATTTTGACATCATTTTTGTACAGTCTGGAGGAAGTGGAGGCATGTTGTCCATCTTTTTATACAGTCACTGGGTGAATCAATGAATATTAAAGGGTCAGTTCACCTGATTCAAACATATTTCTCACTTATGTGATATCAAGCCATGCAGACAGATGTGGTTTAGAGATATCCACCTCAAAAACATCTGCTATATACAGTCAGGAGTTTGATATGTAAGGCTCATAGCATTGCAACAAGACAAGCTAATGTTAAGCAAATAAGATGTTAGCCATTTTAATTTTAATCTTAATTTGGCATGTTGGCACGCTTACATGTTGTTATAAGCAATAAACGCAAAGAATTTTGATGTGGATGTCGTATTTTTGCAGGTAAGTGGCCAAAGAATTGGACAAATTGCCCTGTCTCCTAGAAACTAATTTAAAATGACAAATACATTTTGAGGGAAATTTAATGCCAAGCAGATTACGTTTTCTGGTAACATCATGGGAAAATGTTGCTAAAATGTGTCTACCATGTTGCAAAAATACTGATACTGAAGGTATCAGCAACCAAAGTGCATTTGTTACCTAAACGTAAGACAGGAACCCAGATTCAAACCCAAAGTAACTCAAACATCTCCCTCTGAAGTCTACTTGATACATGAATGTAGTGTATTGTTACCTGAGAGAAACTTTAGGCAGCAATCATGTTGCCACTATGTAATTAAGAAAGCAGTTTAGTTACATAGAAACGTAGTTTCTAGGAGACAGGGTTCCAAATTAAAATGTTGACCTGATGATGGCATTAGACGAAAGGTCAAAGGATCACACCGGCTGGTAGGATTCATCCTCTGGGAACCATAAATGTCTGTATAAAATGACCTATTTCCAATGCTATCCTTTGCCTGGCTATAAATTACATTTGAAAAATCTTATTGCAAAGTCGTGCAAATAAAGAAAGTGTTCACAGTGACGCCTGTGGATAAGAACTTTGTAAAAAGAAAAGTTAGTGTTAAATCTTTCAAATGTCCTTTTTAATGCTGTTTTTACTAAAATCTAAGAAAAATATCTTAAAATGTCAGTAGATGTAGATAGATCTGCACGGCCAGATATCACTAAGGGTACTTTTTTAAAATACTTTCTGTCATTTGGACGAACTGACCTTTTAAAGTGTAAAACTTTTGCAATCCAACACACAACCCAACAAGTTCTTGTGCAGGCTTTGTAGACTCAACACAGACTTGTGTCCTTCAGTCTATCAGTCTGTCTTTAGTTGTTTCTGGGCTGGAATGACTGAAGTGCTTTTTATGGCTCTGCAGGTGTCAGCGACCCTTGATCCCTCACATGCACACACACGCACATGCACACACACACACACACACACACACACACACACTCATCATACACATGCACGTATGCCTGTGAATGGACACACACAGACATACATGTGTGTAACCATGGACACAGAAAAACACACTCCCTGGTTCTATGCATTGCTGAGTGCATACCTTAGCTGACAACAGCTGGTTTGAGGAGGAGTGCCCTCGGGGGAACAACCACCCAGGACAAAGGGTCACTTCGTCTGTGCCCCACTCCTGCAGACAGGTTCAGCACCTCCCCCTCCTCTCCATCCTCCTCCTCCTCTTCGCCTTCTGTCTCCTTCCCTGCCATCCGTCCCAGACCTCCAAGTGCTCCCAGCCCCAACACTGATGCAGCTGAAAGTCCAAAGTGTAGCAGAGGAGAGTCTGAGAGGCTGAGCGGCCCCATGCCGCTCCCTCCACCCATGGAGAAGAGTGGTGCCCTGTGGTGGCCCAGGGCTCTGGCGTGGCAGAAAGCAGAGAGAGGCAAAGAGGTCCCCAGGCCTCCAAGAAGAGCTGCAGCAGCCCCAGGGATGAGGATGTGGGCCCCGCCTACGGAGGGCTGCTCAGCTGCACTCTGGTGCCCGGCGAGGCCTAGCCCCGCCCCCAGCCTGCTCGGAGCACCTTGCTCCTGGGCAACAAAGTGCCCATGGGCTTTGATGTGCTTGCGTAACGAGCTGGGATCTGTGTAGCGCTTCAGGCAGCCTGCCATCTTGCAGTAGTATGGCTTGTCAACGTAGTGGGTGCGGGTGTGTTTGAAGCGGTCGCTAGAGTTGGAGTAACGTTTGCTGCAGCCTTCATAGGGGCAGATGTAGGGTTTTTCTCCTAGAGGGGGGAAAAGGGAGGACAACAGAATTGGAAGTCAGACAGGGAAGAAGATAAATAAAAATAAATAATCTGATGACAGTATAAATGCAAACAAAGCCAGAGAGGACTTGTTTAAATAGGTTTTAGTCCTGGAAAGGAATATTCAGTTTTGAAATTCTGCACTACTACGTGTTATGTGTGTAAATTTATGATGTTCTGTTACTTCAAATGAATTCTATTGACACTGTGGCGAACACCTGTAGCTCTGCAGCAAGACCTTTTATTTTCATCTGAATAAAATGGCTCTTGCTGACTTGTCGTCTTTCATTTTTCAGTGTAAACCTTTAAAATGGAGTTAGAAGATGTATCCTGTTGGTTTAAATAAAGCATTTGGGGTTCAATATCTTGCCCGGGGATACTTCCGACATGTGGACTGGAAGAGCCAGGGATCAAATTGCTGATCTTACAATAAGTGTACAACCTGCTCTACCCCTGCGTCACAGACGACTCCCTCTATCATGGCTGGAAGATGGTCTCTAATTATTTATTTAGTTATGTACAAATAGAAGAGAATACCGCTAAAGCAGGGGCAAAATGAGTTGCTTTATTTAATAGATTTTTAGCTATGAAAAAAATGGGAAATTTCCATAGCGACTGGGCTTTCAAATAGCCTATGTATCATCGTCTGCGTGCCTCACGACAGTTCCTGTCACACGCAGACAGGAATAACAGGTAACGGAAGAAGGATTTAACGCATTGTTAACAACAAGGAACTAACAAAGGAAGCTACAGAGCCAAACCTACTCTGATATGTGAGACAGGTCATCATGATTGCATTTCACAAGGCTTCCTTTCAATAGAGAGATAGCCCGCAGAGTGAAGTGTGTATTTGCACAAGTTATATGTATACATGGGTGTAGTGGACTCGCTTATCACCAGGAGCTCTGAATTCCATCAAGGCTCGTACATCCTGCTAAATGGTTCCTGCTAAAGTACAGACGCACATATACTACGTATGAAGAGGTGACTGAGGTGACGTGTTCAAGGATTATCTCCTGTTAACATACATTTTTGTAGGCAGCAGATGGCCACTGGTAGACAAACACTCAAACACCATGAAACAAGTGAAGGCGCAATGTTTGCTAAGATGTCAATGATTGCTCAGTTTGGAGGAACCTGATGACGTAAAAAGCTCTGATGTCTCTGCTGTTTTAACACCATGTTTTTAGATTCACATTGTAAAGTCAGCAGCTTAATTCCAGCAGTATCACTCAACACCAGCTGGTATGCAACTGGAGACTGGTTGACAATGTGTTGAAAGTAACAACTTTCAGGTTTTTTATTTATGACAATGGGTGTTTAGTTTGTTATCTGTGTCATTTACAGTTCCCTCCAGGATTTAGTGACGTTGTGATCGTGACAGTTAACACAAATTCAGCCAATCCCTGTGAATTCTGTGCGTGCTTGCAATTTTGTCCAATCACCACAACTTTGCTGCAAATTTGACTATTTAAAACAGGTGAAATCTCATTTCATTGTAGACGTGGTTGCAGTGTATTGATTTGCTTAGTCCCTTTATTAGAGCCATTTCTAGCAAGTCCTAGTTTCCTATTATTTTTTCAATCACCTGACCTGGCATCTCTGGAACCTTTCATTAAAGGCAGGTGTGTTGAAGTGAGTGCGGAGCATGGACGATGCCACAGGGTTACAGTCTTTAAAAGCTGTTTATTTGGCTACTCTTAGTTTTATCATTTGATGAAGTCGTTTAATACCCCATTGATTTGAACTTAGCAGCACTTTCAGTTCTGAAACAGAAAATGTACCCATATTCTCTTAACATTCCCCTGGGTGCTCTCAGTGTCATCTAAAACATCTTTCCCTATTCATCGTTTATGGAGCAGTTCCAGACTTGACACCCTCTGACATCACAAGTTTGAGTTTTAGCATCCTAGCTTTTGGATTTGAGAGAGTTGTTCATGTTTACTAATATTTTTGGACTATCTTAGACCATAGGAATAAAATGTATGACCTCTGAAAATGGGCACAGTTCCCCTTTAAGATGACCTAATCACTTAAAATCAGTCAAAATGACAACATATAAATTTTCCTTGCTAGAAGTTAATTTGTTTTGAAAACTGGTGAATCATTTATTAATGTTTCTGCCAGTTTTCAGTTCAAGTTCAGTGATCTGTTTAACCTTGTTCTGAGATACTGAGACAAGACTGAGAAGGAAGTGAACTGTCTCTCACCCCACTGGCAGAGTATTTTCGTATTTAAGTACATTTTATAGGCTGAATATCAGACTTGTAAAGACGATGATTATACATGTTTATTCCAGTCTCAGTATTTAGTTTGTTTCCTGTCACCTCTTGTTTCAACATATTTGATTTCTCTCTGCAGATTAAAGAAGAAACCAGACTCAAAAACATTATGCAGAAAGTAGATATGCCTCCTGGCTTGAGCTTGTTTTGGAAACACAGAGATGATATCATGGTTGGGCAAAAGTCTCTGGATTTGTTATCCAGTCTTACAGTAAAAACACAGCCTCAACTCTGTGGTTCAACATGCCCCTTCAAGGACACACACCTTGGAAATGTCATGTTTACTGTATCCTATCTTCTCAGTCAAGGGCATAGTTTCCACTGTTACACCATCAGGCCGGAAATTTACTTGCTTTTAACTGTGTTCATGCGTTCAGTCCAGTTGAACTCAAGTTCGTTTGCCCCCTAAGTGCCGTTTGTTTTGGCAGGTGTGAACACAGCAATCGATGAATCAATGACAGCAATATAGTCCACAATGAGCAGTGCTAAAATCAACCTGCGTAGTTGTCCCTCCATTGTGACATTAGAAAGTGTCACATTTATCTTGCAAGTGTACTCTTCTTCAACGTTTTGTTTACTTCCTGGATTTTTCCCGCATGGAAATTCTGACCAATCAAGAGCAGCTTTCTTGCACAAGGCATTTTATCTGGTCTACTTGTAAATACTACCGTGAGAACACGAACCAACTCTATGCAATCATGCAACTTTGGAACAAAATTTGTCCCTGATTCAGACCAAAGCAAGACAACTCTAGGTCTGACAACACCCTCGCCATTTTCATGACAACGTTCTTGGGCTGGAGTTAAATACTAACACAGACAATGAAAATGCTAATATGTTGATGTATAGTTGGCATAATGTTTACCATGTTCACCATCTTAATTTAGCTTGTCGGCACGCTAATATTCTAATATGCGCTAAGTACAGGTAAGGCTGACCAAAATATCATTAGTGTTGTGGATATAATAAACAAAATTTAATTTTGACCTGACTGGTTAAAGGGTAAGAGGATCGAAGTTAAAGCAATTCATCCTCTAGGTACCCTGAATGTCTGAACCACGCTGCATGACAATTCATCCAATAGTTGCTGAGAAATTGTGGTAAAAACCCAAACTGTCAACCTGATGTTGGTGCTAGAGTAAAGTTCAGGGGATCATCAAAAGCCATGGGATCCATCATCTGGCCACCATGAATGGCTGTACCAAATTTCATGGCAATCCATTAAATAATTGTTGAGATATTTCAGTCTAGACGTGGAGCAACAGAAGACTGACCAACTAACCAACATTGCCATACCCTGAACCAAAGTAGAGTCCAATAATGCCTACAACACATGAACTCACCACAGCACTACAACGTCTGTTTTATGATCACGGGTCACTCTGTAGTGGACTTAAACCAACTGTAGTAAAAGTGCTGAGTTGTGTAAAAAGCTGATAAGCAGGAGTGAAGACAGGAAACTGTGAACTGACCCTGGCAGCACCAGAGGGAATTAACACAAAACAAAATATCCACACAGGCTGCAGAAGAGTTGGAAGAATCCAGGTTCATGTTATGGTAAAACTACGTAACAACAAAAAAAACTAAACTCTTTGTCAGCAACAAAAAGCAAGACAACTTTATTTGTAGAGCAACTTTTCATGACAAGGCAATCTGAAGAGCTTTAAATGACAGGAAGACATTAAGAGAGAGCTGTTCATAAATAATGCATGTTGTGTATTGATGGAGGGCTACATTTAAAGGGGCAGTCCGCCAACTTTACACATTAGGATCAGTTTACTGATCCAGAGGAAAACAACTCAGCCTGCGAAACATTTCCAGCATGTTTTCTGTGGCTCTAGAGGATGCTTTTTAAAATCTGAGAAAACAACCCTGATGATGTCATCGTGATTTAAAACAGAAACCCTGCATGAACAACAGGTGGTGTCAAAAATGTCTTTATCAGACAGGGTGGTCTAATGACAAGATGCAGGAATGAGTCAGAAAACCTGCATTTCAGTTAAATATTAACATTTTAGTACTCCTGGTTCCCTCGTCTCAAAGTCACTGAGCTATTTGAATGAGTTTTGGTGAACACAAGCTTAAAAGACTTTCACATTTTGTTCTACGACGTCAGTATTTACCCCACTTGTGAAGGCTGTACGGCCTCCTGGTGGCGACACTGTGTGACCATGGTGTAGCTTGTTTTTAGGCTTCGTGGTGTAATGCAAGCATCGAAAAACTCAGAAAACCAATGTTTTAAAAAGGGTTAAGGCATCGTGGGGAATGTAGGATCCAGCGTTCTTAGAGCCTGACCCACATTAGAAGCTACATGTGAGGATATATCAGGTTCTGCAGTTTGATTTTTAACATTCTTTTTGTCTCTCTCAAGTGGACCAAGTTTATAAAAAGTGAAATAGTAATGGCTTAATTTTCTCAAACAGCTAAGTACTACATTTTTTAAGAAACGTTACTCAAACAGGAGTAAATATGTTTTGTTAAATGTTTTGTTAGGGACTATTTTCAGCCACAGGTTTATTGCTCTGTGGAGTAGTTACAGCAGCAGCATGGTGAATGTGGGAAAACATTAATTTCAGTTTCCAAGTGCAACAGTGTGGCTCATTTAAGTGTTTTAGTGGACTTGGACAACTTGGCTCTGAATACACACTTCAGTAAGATTAATTTATTGTAGGTTTTGGTCTGGATTTGGATATGGAATAATGAATATCACCACATTTATTCTGTAAATCTGCCAGGTAGCATTTTATTTATTGTGAACTCACCTGTGTGTGAGCGGGTGTGTATCTTCAGGTTCTCCAGCCGTGAGAAGCTCTTGTTACAGGTGGGACAATGGTGCGGCTTCTCATTGGTGTGTGTGCGGATATGAATCAGCATTTTATACCTGTGAAACATCAAATAAATTCTGTTTACTGAATACGCACACATACACTTTGCCCTTGAAAGGGTCACTACCTTTTCTGAGGAAGTGGCTGCTGATATCTGAATTACAACCAGTTGTGATGAGGTCATCATCCAGGCAACAACACGCCTACCTGAGGCTGCGGCTCATAGACCATGCAAACCAGGAAACTTGTGTACTTTTATGTTGCTTGGCCATACTTTGCATGCAGGTTGGGATAACTTACATGGGGTGGATGAAGTAACACACAAATGCCTTACATGGTAATACAGCAGACGTGCAGTCAAAACAAACCTGGTGAAGCATAGAATGTGTTTTTCAACTGGTCCTTGTTGGCGTAGTTTGCAGTATCGTTAAGAAAACGTCAGTTTATCTCCCTCTTTGCTTATAAAATTTGGCCTGCCTTTGCCAAGTAGCATCAAGATTTGATTATCTCAGAGATCCCAGCGTCCATTGACAAAAACATTCACTTTACTTCGCAGAACACTGGAGTTGCTGGTCTACCGCTGCCTGGATTGGTTAGCATGTAAGGTAAAGCGGAGAAAATATTCCAAATAAAGCATACATTTAAACTGATAATATGTTTTTTAGGTGGCTACAGTTTGTTTGTTTGCCATGCCGCCCCGTCCACAGCAGTACAATGCCTAGCTTCCATGCTTAACTAGATATCTTTAAATGTTACAGTAACAGTGGAAAATGACAACAGTAGTGAAAAAGTTTTCTGAATCCACAGTTGCCAGTTGTCTCCCCAGAAGTGAATGTTGTTGACAGTGTGACTTCACAGTGATTTCGTCTGTAGTGATTGTTGAAACCCCTCTAAAGTTGATATATACAATTAGTATCAAACTCACTGACCAAACGATGTGCAGACTGTGTAGCCAAACATTGCTCAAACTCACTGAACTTTATTTTAAATGTTAGTGGAAATCACAAAGCCTCCAAAGAAGCAAAGTATTTCAGGATAAATTTGGGGGAAGGTGCAGAAAACAATGCAAAGGACGTGTTGGTAAAGATTCTCAGTCATCCAGGTCATTTTAATCCTAAGTGCTATATCTTGGATGAGAGGTGAAACGTCTTCAAGAAACTCAAACAGCACTGAAAAGTACAGCTTAAAATAACTTAAAATTAAAAACAACACTTGTCTTTAACCCAATATTGTTACACGTCTACTTAATAATGACGTTCATTTGAGTCAAAGGCGAGCAGTCAGTATAAAGGACTTTTGTACACAGGAGGAGGGAGTTCCCTCCCACCAGCCCAGCCAGGATATTTGCATTGGAAAAGTTTATCTAACAGGCCAGACATACCTGGCATTAAAGCCCCTGCCATTTCGAGCACAGCCCTCCCACTGACAGCAGTATCCAGAGTCCTTGTCAGGCTTGACGTGGAAGTCGTTGATGTGATCCACCAAGTCCTGCAGCGAGTCGAACAGCAGGTGGCACTGCAGGATAGAGAAATGTACTGTAAATACACAGACTGAAGTCAGTTGATGAAACTGAGGAGCAACAATGCTGCAGAACTGCTCCGAATTCAAGTTGTTTTTGAGAAGTTTATTACATATATTAAACATGTTTCACGTGACTTCACATCAACATTTTATGGAGTTTTCTTTTGATATAATGTTTCAGCTCTACAATGGCTTAAACTTTCCTGTTGTTCTACATAGTTTTGCTTTAATCAAATTATTTAAGTGTTAAATAATATTTATTCTTAAGAAGTATGGTTTCAGTCATATCACAAGTTAACTGACCTGACTGAAGTTTTTGTTGTCATTAATCTATTAAAGCATTACAACCATTTTGTACTTTACTAACACTTTAATTTATGATCTTGTTCAATGCTCTGGTTACTTTTCTTGGTCACTTCATATTTACAATGTATTTTTTTTTTCTTAGATACAATATGTTGGATTATGTGTTGCTTGAGATTTTTATTTTGAGAAGTGCTTTGTTATAATCAACTGTTAAGTCTTTACAATCTCAAAATGTCTGAATATTTTTTATGTATTTTAAAATATCTAAAACCACAGAAAAGCAGCAACAACATGTGAATTCTGGGCTTTTCCTGCTTAACCGAATGCAATGATTATTCAAATCAGTGTCAAAATGTAACTAATTGTTTCTGTACCAATTGTTGGCGGTCATCCTCTCTCTTGCTTTTTGTGTGACTGCCAGTTTGTTTTTAGCACCACCTAGTGGTCAGAGTAGTAGTTGCAGTCTTCTTCACCCAGCACCTCTATGACAGTGGTTCCCAACCTTTTGTCTTCAGGGACACCTTTTCTGTTTTTGAGTAATTTAACGACCTTTGAGGAAGTGACATATTTTATTGATGTTTCATACTGTGTTCAATGCGTAACAACAACAACAGTACAGAACAACTGATAAACTGTACAATTAACCCAAATAGTGTAGGCAGTAACTGCAGGAAGTTTGCGTTAAAGGAGCAATTCGGATGGATTTTGAATTTTTAGCAGATGATTTCCTGAGAATATTGCAGCACAGATATTTTTCCTGATATTTTATATAATTCTCTTTCTGTATTATTATTGTTTTTCATCATACATACTGTAAGCATTTTTTTTTGTGACAAATTTAGGGTTTTCTTTTCCCTGATACTTTGCCATTGTTCTGCTACATCCTTGGATGTGAGCTACATACTTTTTAAAAAGAAATATAGTGCAAGGCTGCTAAGCAGAGAGTGAAGGCTCTGTGAATACAGCTTGTGTTTTCTTATTCTGTGAGATGTATTTCAAGTTTATATCTTGCCTAACATTCTAAACTTAAACTAAATTTCACTTAGTTTTCTTCACAGGAATGAATAAAAGGCTGAGATTTGGTCGACTGTATATACTTGAAAAAAGTTTTCTTAAATCCCTTAAAATCAAGAAGGCCTCACCACCCTCCGTGAAGCTTTGGGGGTCCAGTTTGGGAACATTGACTGTAAAAATAATGGACGTAGCTTCCATGACATCACCCGTTGATTTGTGGACTCCCATTTAGATGCCTTGAGTTCGGCATTTTGGCCGTTGCCATCTTGTTTTTTTGGAACCAGACGTGCTCATACTTGGCCAAGGATTTGACCAAGAAGCTGAGGACACTATTGGCCGCCAGTTGGTCGCTCAGAGTGGTCTGCCTTTAATGCATGACTTTAAGCAGTAATAAAATAAGACGTACCCCCGGTATAGTTGTCATGAATGTTGAAATTAGCCGTGTAGACTTAAACTGTTTTTTGTAACAGGCTGTAAACATGTTTATTTCTATTGTAAAGTCAGGTCGCTCGCCACCAGACAATCAGAGATCTCCGCCTTCTGATAGTCTGGGGACACTCCTTTCTAAAGTGTGTTTAACACACCGGAGAAAACGGCCGGCAACAAAGCAACGCCTCTTGCATTTTTGAAAAGGACACACCCTCCCGGAAATGTGCGCTGCCCCTTTTCTCGTCCACAAGGAAACAAACACACAGAGAGCTTGAATATGGATGCCGAGAGATTTAACTACATTTTATCAAACGTGTGCTCAGTCCACAAGATTGTGGAAATGAAGGACTTACAGCGACTTTGTTTAAAACTTTAAACACAGTCGGACTATGTTTACAAGCACAAGAGTTCAGCGAGCCACCCAAGGACCGCCCTGCAGATTTACTATTGGTTCTGCAACGTAGGGAGTTTTTTTAAACTCTGAAATTGTATCCGCCCATCTAAACACAAAATCAGGGAGAAAGACATCAGTCTTTAGTTAAGCAAAGTGTCTAAAGACTGACTTGTGAGTCTAAGTCAGGTATTATAAAATGGGGGTCAGCCTCAAGTGGCCGTTTAAAGAACTGCAGTTTTTGGCGCTTCCATGTTGGCTTCATTTTTCAGAGCTTGTTGCTCGACTGGGAAATCATCCCTCTATGGTATTCTTACAGTAGAAATGAACTGCATCTGACTGACAAATTATAATTGATTGATGAGGCCTGGATGGTCAGCTAAGGCTTTTAATTTTAATTGTGAAGAATAGTCACAAGCCTGTCAGTGTGCTTTGATTTATCTGTGTTTATTCACCTTCATCCAACGGCAGGCCAGCTGACCGTCCAATGAGGGCTCTGGTGAAACTTGCTTCTCTCTGTTCGGGCCGATGAAGATAGAGGAGGGAAAGCTGTACGCCCTCGGTGGGCTGCCGATCGGCAGATAAAATGGATAACCCTTTGGTGAAGCGCCGCCCTCCAGACCTGGATGACGAGCTGGTTCCTGAAAGACAGAAGGATGGAGAGAAAGGTACCATCAGCCGTGGAAGACAAGCTCTTCTCAGTGTTTTACTGCTTGGCTAAATACCACCATCGTTAGTTCTGCATTTATTGATGGATGATGTTGTTTTTTAAAGATGGTCTGAAGTTCTGCATGTTTAAAATTGAAGGAGAAATTCAAAATGGTCTGCTAAATGAATTATTATGGACAAAAAGCCGCCGCCAACAGTTTCAAAGACATCTTTGAAGTATGTCTAGAGGACACACTGAGTCCTTCTCACAGTCCACTTTTAATGTTTTAGACAATTTAAAATCGGTACTTTCTGAGCTAAAAGATGAATCTGGGCCATGAGGGGAGATTTGATGCTCTAACAAAGAAGCTGTGTGTTTCATGTTTTACCACTCAAGCATGGCTAGAATTTGATTTGGACAGAGTCAGCGGACGGCTGTGTGCTGCTGTGCAGACACTGCACCAGCAAATTAGATCCGCTCCCAGGATCCCAATTCAATTCACTCCTGCTGAAGAAGAGTGGAGCACATTCAGCTACATGCTTGGATTATTCTGAGAAGACTGTGGTCATGCCTATGGATAAGATTTACTGCTGACATGAAGATACACACCACAGAACAGTCCTCCCTTAACTTTATGAAACAGTCAGTTTCTTATAATCAAATTTAAAGCAGCTGTAATCTAATTTCCAATAACAATGCAATCTCTGAACCCATCAGCTATCAGTCTAACGACGATAAGCCTCTGGGGGCAACAGTCAATATTTCAGGAGATCCGGCGAGCCAGCGGATATCCACGCCAAGACTTCCTCTTCTGTGCACCAGCCATTTCAGCTAATCTCTGTAAACAGATAGCTGCATAAATGTAGATACATTAGAGTAGTGGTTCCCAACTGGTCCAGCCACAGGGTCCAGATTTCTCCTTAGTCATTCATTCTAGGTCCGCATAGTTTAATACACTCAGTGTCATACTTGTGTTTGGCTATGTCATTGAGTTATTTTGGTGTCTCTGTAAAGTAGCTGTCCATTATTCACTCACTCTACAGCAGGAAACAGCACTTCAGAATAAAAACTCTGCTGGAAATTCACTGTACCTCAGAATAAAGTGTGTTTTCTACAAATTTGACATATTTGCGAGTCACTTGCATCCATTTAGAATGGACCCACGACCCACTTTTGGACTGCAACCAGTTGGGAACCACTGCATTAGAGTGCCTGCCCAAAGTAGAGTCCTTTGCAGCGGCCCAGTTCAATTCCAACCTGCGGCTCTTTGCTGCACATCAACCATTTTCTCTCCCTTTAATCTGTCATTCTCTAGCAGCACGGGAATAAAGGCAATAAAAGCCTAAAAATAAACTTTAAACCCAAGCTAATATAAAGCTAAATCACCATCAAACAATAGCCAGTAGCGTTCCACCTCATCACCAGACTTATTATAGTTCATTATTTTTGATTAGCTTTTAATTTTTGTTTTTGATTCAGTTTGTTTCCAGAGTGAGTTTACTCATTTCAATTTAGTGTTTGTTATTTAACAATTTTTAGTTTTAATCTAGTTTTTATTAGTTTCAGTATTAGTTATAGTTTTTTTTATATATATATATATATATTATGGAGAGTACAGTATTTTTCAGGAGCAAGATTTAATAGGTCAGCTGACTCATAGGCATGTAGACATCCCAGTCTTACGCCTCCTCATGCTTGTTGTGTTGACAAATTTGACCAAATTAGCAGAGACATGTCCTGTACTTATTCTTTTTCAGTAACCCCTTATCCTGTTGAGGGTCGCGGGTCTCTGGAGCCTATCCCAGCTGACATTGGGCAAGAGGCGGGGTACACCCTGGACAGGTCACCAGACTATCACAGGGCTGACACATAGAGACAGACAACCATTCACACTCACATTCACACCTACGGACAATTTAGAGTCACCAAATAACCTGCATGTCTTTGGACTGTGGGAGGAAGCTGGAGTACCTGGAGAAAACCCACACTGACACGGGGAGAATATGCAAACTCCACACAGAGGGGCTCCCTCCTGGGATTGAACTAGGAACTCTCTTGCTGTGAGGCGACAATGGTAACCACTGCATTTCCTGTACACGTTTATTTTAGTTAATTTTATAACTACAAAACACAACGCTGTTTTAATTAGCTTTGTGTTTTTTTCTACAGTGTAATCTTATTTTTAATTCAGTTGTTAAAAATGTCTTTTACACCTAATTTTATTTTTTAGTTTAGTTTTAGTAAACTATAGTCCTTCACTCTCCATACGGACTGTGTGAACATAGTGGAGCTTTTAGCAGCTAAAGAGATATAGAGACCGAAAACAGAGCCCAAAGTGGACAGCTATCATTCTGGCACTTTGGTTTAATGAAACAGTTTCTTATCACAAAAAAAGTAAAAAGCAGGCACAGCTTGTCAAATATATAAATGATCTGGGGTCTGACTGATATGATTTTATAAAATTACATTAGAGTACTGGATGATGTTATCAGTTGTCCTTAAAATGCCTGTAATGCATGATCTTTTTTGTCTGTATTCATTTGAATCTCTGCGGGACTTACTCAGTCTTCTCTCTGCGTCTTTTCATATCTGCACAGTGTTTAAAAGTTTTTTGCACCTGCACCTCATCCAGTGTAGACTGAGTCTGATCACAATTAATAAATCATCAGCCAGTGATGCTGCACGTCAGATAGGCTAATTTTTGTTTGTTTGTTTTGTTTCAAGACATATCACACAATACGCTCATGATTCGAAAAGGCAGCTGTTGTTAAGTGTGAACACCTGCACTCACCCGTGAGAAGAGATGTGGCTGAGGGCTTCTGCTGCTGTGAGGGGACTCCAGGGGGGAGGAGGGGAAGGGGGAGGAAGGGGAGGAAGGAGACGGGGAGAGGGAGGAGGCATGGCGGGAAGAGGGTGACAGGCTGAGGTCCATGGCTGGAGGACTGAAGCAGGACCCGGGTCGTTCTTGAGGGGAAGTCTGGGACTCTGGAGAGAAGAGGTAAAATGTAAAATGATGTTACATTTGTCAGACTAAAGTAAAACCTTTCTGTGTAATACCTCAGAGGCCATGTTGAACTGTAGTAACTGTAGGACTATTTAGCTAGGTCAGCTTATAACTGACATCTCAAAGTTTCTGTTGGTGCACATTTTTATTTTAAACCACTATTGCAGGCTGCTCTCATGCACTGTTCAGAGTTTTCCTACGAAAAGTAATGAACCCAAATTCGTACACATGTATAACCCACGTTGGGAAGGCTGAAATCATGTGACCAATGTGCTGACGGAGGTAGAGAAGGAAGAGTTCCCATTAAGGAAGAAGATTGGAATGGTGGATGGGTCACAAAACATGGGACTCTTCGCCAGGACTTTCCCCAGAAGAGCGGTGTTTAGAAAAGTGTGAGCAAACTTTGAGTCAGTTTAAGGTACGTCCTCACCATGTTTCTTCCTAAAGGTAACCACAGTAACTTCACTTATCTAAACCATGACTGTATAAAAATGATGACGTGACAGCTCCCCTAAAGTGAAGCCAAAACATCTCAATCGCCCCCTGGTGGCTGGCTGCAGTACAGTTCATAAAGCCCACCCACTCCTTGTTAAGGCTCATTTATGCTCCCTTTACATACGAAAATGTATACGTCCGTTTCAAACAATGTTACCGTCACTGTCCACATACTTCCATGCGTCCTTTACGTTGGCATGGATGTTAACCAATATATCCACCAGGGGGCAGCCCAGAGTCAAAAGTTTATGACAACAACAAACTCAAAAACAAACATGGCGACTGTGGAGGAGATATTGATAATGTACTTCTTGCATAAAAGACAAAAACAGAGGCAGCGTTGTAGGAGGCTGTGGTTGGTGAGGCCGTTAAATACATCACGACTGGAGGACAGAGAATTCTTTTCTCTAGTAGCCTACTGTTGATGAGAGAAATTGAATTGTTATTTCTTCTTCGTGTCTCACTAGAGCTACGTATGGGGTAGTGACAGCAACACTGCCCCCACAGTTTCCGGTAGTACTGCTCCGTTTGGCCCGTATCTGTAAGCTTTATGGAAACGTGCAGAAATACAGACGAAATGAACGTGGAGCACGGACAGAAGGCTCCGTCCGTATCCGGATCCGTATTTAACGTTGAGCATAAATGGGCCTGTAGCGGATGGGACGAGAGCCAAACTAAAAACTCAAAGTACATGTCAAATAAATTTTTCCCCAACATGGTTTGTCAGTTTAGATAGTTCTTATCATGTTGATGTATATTCAAGTGTTCATTTTTCTTATTAGTTTGGTTTTAATTTGTTATTTGAAGCTATAAAAACGGGGTTTGACATCATGATTGACATCTATGTGTGTCAGTCGTTGTGCTAGCGATCATTGGCGCTGCTTGCGATTGATCAGACGTGTGTTTAGACCGGAACTCAACACCGCACAGATCGCCTCTGTGCCGACTCTGGTTCCAAATGATGTCACCAGCACAAGATGGCAGCATCATTGTACTGTGGGGATAAGTAGAGACGTGTTGTCCATCTTTATGTACAGTCTAGGGCCCAAACCTAACTACTGCAACTTCATGTTAATACATTACTGTATGTTAAGTATGCAACATTATTTGTGGGGTGCTAACTGGTAGAGTATCATATGAACCGTTATGTGTGAATTTTCATAAGATATACGATCCCTTGTGTGGCTATGTTTTGCACCCCTGACCTGGTGAAGGTCTGCGAGCCCCTATTACACTTTGGGTGAACTTCCAACCTCTGAGAAGTTGGGTCAAACCTTAGTTAGTCACTACAGGGAACACCTTAAAAATTCCACATGATTGTGTGTTTCCATTATATTGATTAAAATACTGATTAATATTCCTTTAAGTTCACAGTTTTCTCGTCCTGTCTTGGTGCTGGGAGTCTGGAAAATATCTGAAGGACCCTGTGGTGTCCTTGTTCCTCCATATGGGAACATTTATCTACACACAGCCAAAGAGGATCATGAGAAGCACATAAACGAGAGGGCAAAATGGCACAGTTAAACAACAAGAAAAAACACACAGAATCAGCAAAAACACACATTAGTCATTCTCCACATAATTGAGCACCTGGGCTGTAAAGTGTGAGGTTATACAGTCCACTCAGACTGCCACAGAGGCCACGTTGTGCGTATCTTTGAGGTCACCTTGTGTCAGTGTCATGCTCTACTTGTTATGAGCCACACTGGCAAATCTGAGGACAATGAACATCTATTTGAGGACAGCTGCCATTCATTGGGTTTGCAATATTAAGTTAGCAGGAAAGTGAGAACACAGAATCCACTTATTGTTCTATTGCATTATCACAGTCTTAATCACTGCATCAGCAAAGGCATGTCGTGTGTGTGTTGGATGGAGGGGAGAAATGATGGAGACTTTTGTCGATATGTCTGTGTGTTGATACTGTACCTTAAGTTTATGTGTTTAACTCTTACCTGGGGAGGAGGGTGGAGACGGAAAGGTTGTGCATAGCAGGCGTGGTCGTGTGACGCTGAGAGGGGCGCAGATAGAGGAGGGACAAGCCCTCTTTCCTAATCTGAGTGGACCATCTGTCCGTCCTGAGGGAAGCTTCAAGTCCAGCGGCTCGTCCAATGACAGCATGGCTGCTGGTTGCTCCTGCCCACCTGAGGAGAGAGAACCATCATGCGGTCATGCAGCCATAAATATCGATATGTACTTTCAATCAAATCAGGCACCTATGTTATCTTCTGTTAGTGGTTTGTCTTTTTTTTAAATTTTGTGCAGGTGTGTTGTAAAATTTAATTTTGTTTTTTTCGATTCATGCTTAAAAGAGCAACAGGGCAACATTCAGAGCATTAATATAGCTGCAAGCAACTATTTGCTATGTTGAGATAATAGCAGAGTAATGGTGTCCTGAGGAAAAAATGAAGTCATGCTACCTCTGTATGTGTCGTAATCTGATCTTCTTTATTTGTTGTTGCAGTAAACAGTCTGTCCGTTCGTACATGTTAGTCTCTGTGAGTCCCTGTGTTTCCCACTGGCTGGCTAATCACTGCTGCTCTGCACTACGCTCATAGAGTGGTTAAAGCAACCTCTCATCCCCTGTCCACCACTTTAACACTGTCAGCACTATTGCCATTGTTAGATGTTAGCACCGTTAGCTGCTAGCTGCCGGCTCAGCCACCTCCATGTTGAGAGCCATGTGCAGACAACCTTTGAGTCATAGATATGCTCATGATGTTGCATAAGGCTCCTTTAAATCTACATTATTAATTTTTTGGCCACTTGGCAGCAGCGAAACAAGCTGTTAACACAACACTGACATATTGTCACCCTTATAAAGTTGATATGGCGAGCAAACCACTGCCTATTCACACATCCAGTAAATACACTTGAGGTCACTACTCACTAATTATTTTTTTAATTCTGATAAAATGTCTTAGACACTTGGGATTTTTTAGCAGTTACTTTAGTAGAGTGCAAAGTCTCTAAAATTACAAATGTGGTATTTAATCATTCAATGAGCACATTTACATTACAAAGTAAAATGTATAAAATCTCTTGTGGAAGGTATCTCGTGCAAAGGACTGCAGTCTTAAAAGTTTATATAGCCTACTAAGTACACTTTTGTTGCTTCATGCATCCCAAAACCCTCACATGCTGTCTCTCTCACTCTGACAGGGATCCACAAGTCTCTTGTGAGTGTTAACCACTACAGGAAGTCAGACTGGAGTGAGATGAATCTGATCCATCAGTCAAAAGCTACCTACAGTGGCAATCAACACAACCTCATGAACAGTGAGACATCGACCAATCAGGTAAGTACAATTATTTTTGCACCAAACTGCCATCGACATCAGTGCAAAGCAGGGATGTAACGTGATGACAAAGCAGAGTGACTGTGAGGAAACCACTTGTCAACAACTAACCGCATTTAAATCTTTCCCATAAAAATGTCTGTCTTTTATGGACAGCTGAATCTTTTCAGTTGTTTGGTGTTGTAAAAATCAGCTTTGAAATATTATGAAATAATTCCAGCAACATTAATCACAGCTACAGACAGATCCTATTAAATTATAATTCCAATGATCTGGTTTCTAGACATAATAAGCTGCATGAAACTGATGTAGTATCTGTGGTAAACACAGCTTAAATAACTAGAGGTGACATCAGCTGAAAGTACATACATTTTCTTGCTACAGTGCACGTAAAATGATATGATAGGTAGAAACTAAATTTCCCCGAGGTAAGGGGGCACAAATAAGCAACTTATTCATAATTACTGGGGTAATGATAATTAAACTTAATTCTGCAACAGTTCCAAAGTTTCACTTTCAGGTATAAAGAAATGATACATCGTGTAGTGATTAGCTGTCGTCATCTCTACAGGCTCGACAATATATTTTGACATGCCACAGTGGGAAAAGCACAGTTGTAAATAATAAAAAATAATGACTGCTTGATTCAGTTTGTCTGCTTTAATCTCAGGGCCCTGCTATTGTGCATGCTGGTTCACTGTCACAGCTGACTGGGACATCTAAATGGAACAGAGCCATTGTTAATGTCATTAGTAACATCTGTGGTTTTCCTAATATGACAGTCAAAATGACCACTGGGAAAAAAAGAATCCTGTCATATCAAATTATCGATCAATAGAAATAAGGAGTGTGCACACATCATATCCAGAATGAAGCAAAAAGTCTTAAAGGTGTGTTTAAAGGAACAGTGTAGGATTTAGGGGGATTTAGTGACATCTAGTGGTGAGGAATGCAGATTACAACCAGCTGAAAATTCTCCCAATTAGGATTCCTCCTTAGGCTTTTAGCAGGTGTTATCTAGAGTTATCTACAGAGTTTTTTTCCTCTGTGGATAACTCTACAACATTGTCATAACTCTTCCTCTAAAACGCTGAATAAAGCAATTTCAAGCACAAAAACAAAACAAAACAAAAAAACACAAATGGCCCGATACAGAGCCAGTGTTTGGTTTGTCCGATCTGAGCTGTAGAAACATGGCCATGGAACATGGCAATCTCCATGGACAAGGACCTGCTCCCTACATAGATATAATGGCTCATTTTAAAGCCCTGTTTTCCTCTGAGCAGTATGGTACGTTACACTTCAGTTCGGTACGCTTTTTTTCTGTTTCCACTGTGAAAAGTTGTGGATGGTACCAATGGAACCGTTCCGTAACATGCCCTTTTTTTGGGTCACCCCTCTGTTGGGGTACCTACACTGCAGTCTGATTGGTCAATAGAGGATGGTCACTCTGCTCAGGGCTGAGATGTGGCTGGTTTTGAGGCTCATGTAACCACTGTTCATACTGTGGAGAGTTTTATTAGTACACTGTAACTATAAAATAAAAGATGTTTTCCTGCCTCTTGCAGCAGCTGGAGTCTGACAAAAAAATAATTTAATTCACTGAGCCGACTGCCGAAGACTTTTAAGATGGAACATTAACTTGTATTATGTGAACTCCTCACTTGGAGAAAAAAAAAAACGTGCCGCAGAGTGTCGTTCCTGTGGGCTACGACAACACTAAACCCCCGAACTTGCCTGAGAAGGACTAAATGCACAAACCCACTATCTTTAAATATCCCATCAAGAGAGACTCTCACTGCAGCCTGTTCTGTTTTGTTCTGAAAATGCTGGCGCGCAGCCTCGTTCTGTGGATGATAAATGAGGTGCAGACTTCCATCTCTGTCACCTGTGATGAGGAAATACAGTGAGTGTCGGATGGAGCAGTGAGTGACAACTACCTTGCCGACATTTGAGGGTACTGTTTGCAGTGGAAATGTTAAACAGACCTAGGGTCTAGGTACTATGTGTACTTTACCGAAGGTGTTTGGTGGAAACGGGCCTTTAGGTAACAAAAACACATTGATTCTTAGAGAAAACATACTTATTATCTTTTGTTCCATTTCTGTCAACATATCCCCTAAAATCAGTTTTCCGTACACACATTTTTTTCTAAACTGGCCATAATTTAATCGATAGGCCTATTTTACCTCTGACGTCAAAAAAACCACAACTCTTAGTTGTTGTCCTGTCCTAGTCCATGTATTCAGAGACCATTCAGTTCATTTAGGAATGATAGCAGTGTCCAGTCCTGTGTTGTGAGTTTTAGTTGTTGTTCAGTTCCTGGGGGAAAAACCTCTGAGAAGCATTATGATGTGGGTTTGTTACTGCGATCCTCTACATTTCTGTGGTTGGACTTCACTGAGGGGCTTAACCAGATTTTGCAGTAGTTTTCCACCCATCGTGGTATGACACTCTGGGTGAAGCATGAGACAAAAAGCCACCCTGGTCCATGACTCAACTCGTGAGTTCTTGTTAGACCGAATGACTCAGAACCCAGATATCTGCTTCAAAGGAAAAATCTCACAGGAGGAAACCAAAGGGGGGAGGGCTGTGCAGTGAAGTGGACCAAACCTGCGAACAAATGCTTGACAGCTGCTGTGAAAGTTGACACAACTCACTGCTTCTCACTCGCGCTGTTACACAACAATCACACCTGAGAGCTGCATTGAATATCCTCAGTCATCTGTTTCAAGATAATCTCTGCAAGTCTGGTATTTGCTCTGGTTACCATCGCTCACAGCTCACTGCAATACTGATATTTACCATTCAGTCCTAGTTTATTAAGTCAGTTGATCAACAAGTAACAAGAAATTAAGAGTACAATGATGTCAAAATATGTGTTTGCTGTTTACTGTAGGGAGAGTATGGGGACTTATACCTGTTTATTTATTTGAAGTCATAACTCACACACTGTGCTTTGGAGGAGAATCTGCAAAGCAAATAAATTACAGAATTTTACATTTTGGCAAATACAGGTGTTCGATCTCTTGCCAAGAGTTACATGACTGGTCTCACTCGCAGGGTGCCAAAATATGCTGCTTGGGCAGAGTCCACCGTGTCACTTTAATGAGGCTGGAAGCACCCTTTAGTGCCTGGATGAGACGCACCGGGCTTTCAACCAACTCCAATGTGAACCCATCTGTGTCACTATTAGACAGAAGTCATATAAAGAGCGCAAAAGTCCATTTAAAGTGGGCAGGAGGCGAGGTGGATGAGTCCAACAAGCACAGGATTTTCACCCAAGAGACCAGTGTTCATGTCCCGTGTGAAACTAAAAGTCAGCTTTGAATTATTTGTCACAAGTCATTGGTCATCTGTTAGTCATGTGAGTGTACTAATGTCAACCACGATCTTTTCCTAACCATAACCAAGTACTTTTCTTACCTTTCTTGCCTAACCATCACCCTCATCTTGGTCACGAGTCAACTGACATGACTTTATATCTATATTTCTATTTGCATACATATTAAACTGATGAGATATGGTGTGTTAATTGCTATGCATCAGATGTGTTGGTATACAGGTGTATTTATAAGCTTTAGACAGAGCCGGGCTAGCTTTTTCATCGTTTCGAGTCTTTACGCTAAACTAAATAATCTAATCTTATCACTTCCTGATTCTAGCTCTATTTACTGGCTCTTGACATGCCAAGCTGACGGTCGGCCACTGGCAAGCACGTGTCACCCTAGTTAATGTGGCGTTAATAAACAGCTCTTTATTGTTTGCATTATTGTTCTCTAGCGCACAATAAATGTCATTTGTTCTTTCAGTGTCAGGTTGTATTGGTAATGTGCTAACTGGCT